TGAACCACCTACGCCTGAGCTTGATCCGCAAGACTACAAGGATGGGGAAGGTCGTTCAGTATCCCCGACGAAAACATGGTCGCACTACCCGACATCGAATCCAGATACTGAAGAACGGAAAAGAGCTGCCAAGCGCAGTGGGCAAGGTACAGCAACCGCTTCCAACTGGAAAACCGCCTATGACAACCTCAGAAGGGTCAGAGCACGCGCAGTGAGCCAAAAGGTGTGCTATTGTTGTGGTTCAAACCAACATCACCTGGCTATTTGTCCCAACACTGAGAAGAAGGACGAGTTGATGAACTCATTCTCTCACATGGAGGACACTATGCGCAAGTGCTTCACCGAGGACGACAAGGCAATCATCCGACGTGATGTTGAAAGCCGGAAGAGGAAAGCAAAGTCATCCAAAGACGTCGAAGACGAGGACTACATGGATGTGGATGATGAAGATATTGAACTTCCCGAAGAAGAACCGGAACTAGGAGGTAAGGTACCACCTCACTCTCCGAGAGCCAAAGGTAGACCACACTCGTCAGACTCTGCAAAAGAGGAATACGCGAAAGCGGTCGAGGCAACCAAGAAGGCCTTTGGGAACGCCAGTTTCGTCACCAGATTCAAAGAGCCCGTCGACCTCTTTGACATTGCCGATGACAAAGAAGGAGGAGAGTACAGGGTCGCAAATCACAGGGTTGATAGATCAGGTCCTAATGGAAAGTGGGAACTTGATGCACTTATTCAGGAGGCTGCAGCACTCGGAATAAAGATGCCCAAAGTGAAGGACCTTGCTCCTGACCCACAACAAGTTCAAAAGGTTGGATATCGGCAGATTGAGGTGACTTGCGATAGAGGAAGCATCGAGATAATTCCACAGTATGGAGTTACATTTTATGTGGAGTACTGGAATGGACCGAAGAGAGATGCAACTTTCACGGATCCACCAAAGATGAACCCAGCAACTCGCATCGACAAGTTCAGCGAGGAGAGTCAGCGGGTCAACGAGGTTAGCCATAGACTCAATAGACTACTCAGGCATGGAGTGGGAAAGCATAATGGGATTCAATCGCACCGCGGTCGAAAACCTCATGTGTCCCCGAAGTGCAATGAGGGTGGATGGGTGAACATCGATGAGATCCTGGAATATGACCATGTCTTCAACGATGGTGTCGATATCAGTACTATCTCAGATGATCAACGTGAGCAAGATGTCAAGACAGAGCGATACCAGTATTTATGCAAGGCGATGTGGCATGCAAAGAAGTTGCAGAACAGAGTACGCTATCAGATTGCCGCCATTCGTATCTCAAGGGAGGATGTCTCACTCGAAGAGGAAAGGCAATACTGGGCAAACCTCATGTATTACAGCACAGATGCACCGTCATTTCTGAAGCATGAACGTTGGATCGTTCCTTGTGCAATTCGAGCTGTTGCCTCTCACAATTCTGGAAGAGAGACTGTTCTTGAAGAGGATGTGTCAATATATCCTGTGTGGACTTCACATCTCATTCCAGAGAATGTGGCAATGCAGCTTGGAGGAAGCTTTCACATGACATCGCTTTCCAATATTGAGTCAATCATGAAACTCGGAATTGTCCCTGGTGGAACGGAGGGATATAGAGGTAGTGTTTTCTTCAACCACTTTGCGCCGTGGGATGATCGATCATCAAAGATTCTGAGATCAAGATGGCCAAGAGTGGGAATGCCCGTTTGCCTTTATGTTCCAATCATGACTTTGAGGAAGCTTGGGGGAAGAATTTCGGAGAATTCCTACACTGTTGTTTTTAGAGAAGTTCCATGGAGATGTGTACGAGGTGCTTGGTATTGGGACGACTACGTTCAGGCATGGAGGAGACTCCTGCTGGGAAGCACTGGAGAGCAAGTTGTTCTAGCGGCACGTCATGGACTTTGGGTTGCTCAGAAGCATACCATCCTCGAGAGAGCCGACGAAGTCACGAAGTCAGCCTCGGCGACAGATGACAACGTCCAAAAGCTCGTGTCCCTTATCGATGAAGTACAATTCGATGACAATGGAGAGCTGATCGAGGATTCCATCAGTGAGGAAACTTGGGACGAAATCATCTCCAGAACATGTGAAGGGTATCGCAACGTGGATGGCAATATTTTGTGTCCATCATGTATGCATTTGACTTCTTCATCTTTGTCCGTGTGTCTATCTTGTCAAGGCAGGCTACTCTCGTGTGGTATTCGCAACACTGTCATTTCCGATTCACCCGTTGATCTTGTGAGCGACGATGAAGAGGAAAAGAAGGAAGAGAAGGAGCCTGAAGATGATGATCAAGATATCTTGGACCAGGCCACTATGGACGAGATCAGAAAGGCTTGGGAAGAAGACATCGCTCAAACTGAAGCAGCTGACGACGACGAGGACATGGACAATCTAGATCCTTCCAAACCGTCTGATGGTGCAGAAAACTTCAAGAGTGACAATGTCGAGACCCCATCTTTCAATGAGGACGAGATCGACTACGGTCGTGATTCTGATCTAGAAGATGAAGACGAACGAAACGTGATCATCGAGATCCAGAGGAGCACACAACAATATGAGGGGAAGAAACGTCAAGATGGTGAGCCCGAGGATGAAGACGTCACCGACGACTTACATCCGGAGGCGAATCGACCGACAGATCGTGATGAACCGGGATACTATGCACAGCATGGAGCGACCGAGTTCAATCCCGAAGAAGGAAGAGACAACGAAGATCTCCCCATCTATTGTCGAGTACCGGAACCTCGAATCTATGCGCATCAAGAGAGAGCCTACTGTCAGGACGTCTCCATGAATGCATCGGGTTTGATGGATAGGTATGTGGTCAAATGTGTGCTGAACATGATCTCCCTGATGTACAAGAGCTACTATTGCACCAGCCTTACCGACTTCAAAGCAAATTGGAAAAGGAAGCGTCTGGATGTGATAAGCAAGTTCGGTACAGAGGATTTCACTGAAATCGATGACGATGGGAGACCATTGGATCCAACAGATGACATGATGAGAATCTTTGCCAACGAAAACAAGATTACGATTGAGGAGGCCTGGCACCGATTCAGAGGAGAGCAATTTATTTGCAAGGTGGCACTCGTGATCCTATCATTTGGTCATACTCCGTACTCCTTCAAGAAGGAATATGGCAACTTTGAATACTCCACCAACTTGACTGACGTCCAGCTTGAGGAGTTGAAAGCGAAGAAAGCCAGCGCAATGACTGAATTGGTACAGAAGTGCATCCATGCGATTTATGGTTGTCGGACATATTCTTACTTTAGAACCGACGTTACATCACCCAACCACAAGGTGATCGATCCTCTGGACATCATGTACTCGAGAATGAAGAGCAAATGGGAGAAGTCTATTCTGCTGATCATTGATCAACATGAGATCAGGTTGCCCCCACACGCTCAGAATGTCGTAGAGTCAATGGCCAGAAATCCCAACATTGGACATACAGAGAGATGGATGAGCGTGGTAGAACAGAAGCATGTTCAAGCTCTTACCGATCGTCTAGGCTTTGGAGATAGGGCCAAGGAGATTCAGGGCAAGAAGAAGCAGGCAGCCAAGGCAACAGCTAAGTCAACATCAACGACTAAGTCTGAAGCGAAAGCAGCATCTTCGTCAAGAGCTGAGGCAAAGCCAGCATCTACACCCAGAACCGAGGGCAAGCCGTCGTCAGCACCAAGTGAGGAGCCAAAACCTTCAACAGCACCTAAGAGTTTCGGGCCCTCATCAGCAGAGGAGAGCAAGGCGAAGGCTGCTCCAAAAGCCAGACCACATGATAAATCACCATCCAGTGCTACCGATGTGTTTGAGCAAGCTTTGCAGGAAGATCTTGCCGCCAACGCACATGCAGCAGAAGGTACAACTTCTTCATCATCCCGAGGACATTCCAAAGGAGGAGGCCAATCTGGAACATCTTGGAGGCCGGCGCTAACGCAAGAACGTCGCGAAGTACCTCAACCTTCTGAAAAGGGGAAGGGAAAGAGCAAGTCCAAGGGAAAGTCCAAGAAGGGAGAAGATGATCGGCGGGATGCTCAGGGCAGCTGGGATCATCGTGGATGGAGAGGTTATCGCCAGTGGTGATTTCTTTGAACGACTATGAGGATACCATGCAAACCAGGGAGGAAGTCATTCACCGGATGTCTATCTGACCTGAAACGCTGTAAGTGTATCATTGCAAATCATCAATCCGATTTGATACCATGAGCATAATGGAAGGCAGACAGTCACCGACTGTCTCTCCGACTTGCCGTTCTGTAAGTGTATCCAAACCAAAACCTACATCTTTTGAGAAGTGTGAAGTCAGTTGCCGATGTGACATCTACGTGGAAGTCACCAGTTCGGATCTACATCAAAGCGATGCTCTTTTGAGTGGATACTGAGCGAGGCCTCGTGACTGTCTCACTTGTTCAATTCGATTTTCATAGGTTCTGAGCCATAGTTGCACACTTTATATGTAAAAGTCCGCTTTAGTCCAGCATGTTTCGTAGTATGAGCCTCATATGAGTCTCGCGGCAAATCATACAATTTCTTTTGTAGCACTTACATCCCTAAATTTTCGTGTGTGATCGGAACATATTGTTGCCGTTCACATGGGGGGTGCGAATGGAAGTGCAGCGACACGTACAGTGCAACTTGTACATATATATGTACCATATGTACTTTGGCTCAAGGATCAAGCGACTAGAAAAGGTGCGGTTTCCGTTCCGACGCTACGCCGCTTATGGATCGTCAGTGATAGCTTCAAACTTCGCTGATTAAGATCCACTCGCAGAATATATACATATATAATTGTATATATACATATGCCGGGACTCTCTAAGGAGTGTCTATTACTGTCCCCTTGTGTCCATTAACAAACCTGTTAGTTATGGGTCCTGGAGGAAATATATACTGTACCTGTCACATAGTTGAACTAATTACATCGTTTTGCTCTAATTCATTATTTCGTCCAGCATCCAACGGCTATCCGCGGCATGTTGGCACGACGGGCCTCGGCAGCTTGCTTCGCTTCGATGACCTCGGCGGGGCAGCCCGGCGCTGCAAAATCTGTAAGCAAACCCGCCACTGGCTATTAGGTCCCCGCTTTGCAGCTCCCCAAGCCCCAACAAAAAAAACAAAATGAAAAAAAAAAAAACACAGTACTCGAAGGAGACGAAGAATTGTCAAGAAAAACGACTTTGATGAATCAATCCACCTCATTGGACGACAGCTGCAACAGCAATTGTGGCACGATCTCCTTGCAAGGCGCCTGGGCAAGAGTGTGAGTGCAAATTGAGTGAATGGGCAAGTGACTGCTCTCCTACTGAAAAGTGCTGGACGAGGAAATTGACGAAAACCCACGAAAACCATCGAAAACCAACCGTTTTTCCCTAGGCCCTAGGCCGTAGGTGTCCGCAAATCTTCATCTGCTATGAGTAGCCGGGTTCCAAGTGAGAGCTCCAAAAAAGAGCTCCACCCGTTCTTCCGAAACGCTTCGACATCCACCCGCCTCAGCACTACAAGCTGCGAGGAAGAGCCCGCAAAGGGCTCCTGGAGAACCAGGAGGGACCTGCACTGGTTGCTCTGGAGGCGGTCCACCGCCTGAGCGCGGGTTGACCAAAAAAGCCGCCTCCAACCAGTAGTAAGGCCAGGAACCCCTAGTAGTTTCTTGTTACTACTGGCCTAACAGAAAATGATCAATCCGACATCTTTCAAGTCCTGCAGCTCTCTGAACCCAAAGATCAAGTCCTTCACTGCTCACCACGATAAGGCTTCTACCTTCGCTGTCGGGCTTTACCTGCCACGGTGGAATCAAAAAGAGGCTGAGCCCACGAACCGGTCATCAAACATGATGAACGGCTTTGCTGGAGCATGAACTAGAGCCCAGCAACGTCTAAACTATGAACCTAAGCATCTTAAACCTATGTTTTTCCAGCTGAAGTTGGAAACTTCACCCTTCACATGTTGAAACAAATGGCTCTCGGCCACCAACCGCCCAAGCGCCCCTGCAAAACGACGATTGGCCCCCATCTACTCTCTTTTGGAACCAAAGATTTGTATATGGAGTAGCTGTCCCCAAGAAATAGTGGTGCTGGTGGTAAGATACCATAAATACCTGATGATTGCTGCCTAGAAGGGTGCTGGGTCCCTACTTAGGTCCTATGTGGCTCGATATGTTCCATCAGATATGGAGTGCATCGGCACAGGGGGCCGGTAAATCTCCAGAACGGGTGCTCCTGGGAGATGTTGTTCATGCAAAAAATGATGCAAAAACACTGTGTTTTACAGGGATTTCTTGCAAAATCCTCTCCAAAATTGAGGTTTTGAGCTATTTTTTGAGCAATTTTGTGAGATCCAAGCCTATCCCAATTTAGAGGGAATACCCAAAAAAAAATGGTTGAGACAAAATGGGGTCACTATTGGTTTTTGGATGTTGGCTGCATTTTGTGTCAAACATTGGTTTTTTGTTTTTTTTGGTTTTCTTTGTTTTTTTTGTTTTTTGTCTTTTTTGGTTTTTTGGTATTCAATCTAAATTGGGATAGGCTTGGATCTCACAAAATTGATCAACAAATAGCTCAAAACCTCAATTGTGGAGAGGTTTTAGCCAAAAATCACTGTAAAACACAGTGTTTTTGCTTCATTTAAGTTTAACGGTGGAAGTTGATGTTAAATTGGATTTCAATTGATTTGGCTATTAGACTTCTATTAAAACGCTTTCAGAATTATTGGTGGAAGTTGATTTCTCATTAGCTTTCTATAAAAAGTGTTTAAGATTAATTGTGGATTTTTTACAAACTAAGTTTCATTTATATCAGTTTCAAAATCATTGGGCAAATTGATTTTTATATTAGATTTCAATTAACATTTATTCAATATTAATTATAGAAAAATGAATGTGTAATTCAACTTCGACTAAATTCCTTTTCAAGATCATTGTGGCAATTGATTTTGAATTAGATGTCAATTAAGATCCTATTATATTTCATTGTAGAAACTTGTCATTACTTAAATGTCAATTAAAGTCCTTTTCACAATCATTGTGGAAATTGCTTATTGTTTAGATTTCAAGTTAACTTCTTTTCAACATAATTTGATTGAATTGCGAGTGTGTTGGATATCAATCAATAACCTTTTAGAATTGATTGTGGACATTAATTTTCAGTTAACAGTTAATGGTGGACATCAATTCGTATAATTAGATGTTAGTTAAAGTCCTTTTATTTGATGTTGCCTTGTAGTGGGGAGCAAACAGATACAAAATCAATTCAAGTTAGTTAAGCATCACAATGTCCACAATTAATCTTAAATCGATCTTAAACACAATATGATATTAAATCGAAGCCACCACTAACTTTGAAAAGGACGTTAACTAAAATCTAATTGTAAGAACTAGTTTCCACAATGAGTTTTAAAGAGACCCTGGAAATGATCTTTATTGCAATTTAATATCTAATAAATAGCAAATTCCACAATCAATGTTAAAAGGATCTTGCTTGAAATCTTCTAATTTAAGTTTGCCTAATTCTATGTTATTTCCAGTTTAGTTAGTTTAAGAACACACATGTTACAAAACCCTATATTTTACAGTGTTTTTTTGCCCTAGGAGTGCTGGGAATAAGACAAAAACTATGTTTTTGAGTAGATAGTATTTGTTTAAAGTAATCCCTTGGAATAATCATTGCTATATTAAAACTGCTTTATGTACAAGCTTCTAATTCAAAAGGTTCCCTCTAGATCTGATCACTTCTGTGAAAAAATATAAAGCTTTCATTTCAAAAGCTTTCCTCTGGATCTCTGGAAATAGTCATGGTATTTTAAAAAAGCTATAGTATGTATGTAAGTGTTTCTTTCAAATGCTTTCCTTCAATGAAAATACAAAAATCTAGGAAATCTACTTTCCCAAAGATCCAGAGGAAAGCTATTGAATCTAGAGATGTATAGTATTATATCTTCATTCGCTCATGATGCTACATTCATTGTGGGCAAAGAGAGAGATTTACCTGATAATATTTATCCCTGGTGTTGCACATTGATAGTGGGCAGACGAAGAGCTGTTATTTGTTGTCATTGACATTGGACATGGAGACTGGGCACAAACAGATCAAAAAAATTGCGTTTCGCCTAGTTCTCAGAGCAGTTTTTGAAATTTTGCACGGTATTTACTGTGTTTTCTAAGGGTTTTGAGCTAGTGTGTGCTCTCCCAAGCACACCCACCCTCTAAATCTATGGCCCCAGTTGACCCAGTTGAACAGGGTGCCCCAGTTGATCCAGTTGACCCGGTTAACTTTGTGCGATGGCGTGGTCGTGCTAGTGGTAGTGATAGTGATAGTGGTGGTGGTGGTGGTGGTGGTGGGCCCAGTTGACCGGGTTGAACCCAGTTGACCCAGTTGAACCTAGTTGACCCGTGGCAGTCGTTAGCAGTAGCAGTAGCAGTAGTAGTCGTCGTTGTAGCAGCAGCAGCAGCTTGTTGGGGTCAACTGGTCAACCGGATCAACTGGGTCCGGAGATTTAGCGTGGCCCCCTATGCGGTCGCAATGCAGATATGAGCCCAATCGCCGGCGAGCCTCTGCAGCAATGATTCTGGCCAGAGCTTCGCTGGCCCTGGCGGCAATCTCCTCACCGTGATGGTCGAGTCCGAGTGAAATAGGAAACAGGAAGTTGATGGCAGGTGCAAGAGCTGATGGACATTATCTGATGCTGATCATGTACTGAAGCTGTCAAAAAGAGAGATTGAAAAAAAAGATATGCAAACTCATATAGCACTCTTATGCAGCATAACTGTTCGTCTGGATCCTTTGGTTCAGACTTCGAAGCCATGGAAGTCAACAGCTGCCCCATGACCTCACATTCGTCATCCCGGTGTATGGGCGCAAACGCGGTGACGCATCGTTCGGCTGAGATGTTCACATCAGACTTCGCTAGTCTTGTCAGGGCCACTTCCTGGATGGGCAAATGGGCTCGAGCTCCAACAAGTCAGAGGCAAAGGTCAGTTGGGATGCTTTCTTTTGCTTGACTTGAACTGGCGACTGACCGTGTACCTTGCTCAGGTCACCTTGCGTCAAATGAGATCAGGAGATCCGTCGCCTGGTCATAAGCCATGTTTGAGATCGCCCGCATGGCAGTGAGCTGCACAGCCTCAGCGAGTCTCAACTTCGAGAAGTGCGAGAAGTTGAACTCTCCCGTGACAAAAGAGGCAAAATAGATCAAAATGGTGGCTGATTGCTGATGCGGTCCATACCCAGAGTTTCCGTTTTGACTCCTGAACTGCTGCACCTAGTAGTCAATCCATCCACCATGGGCCCATCGGGGGTAAAATGAATCATTTTCCTGGACTCAGTCATGCGGTCCACAGATTCATCGACTTGATGTCTATTACCTCACAACTCGGAAAAATCTGTGAGTCAACTGGAAATATGTTGGATAGAAATGGATACTGTAGAATATCAGAATATAGAATATATATATACATATATCTACACAAATATATATATATATACACAAAACAATATGTATATATATATACTGTGTATGTGCAAGTGTGTTAACACCTGTTTCCAAGGTTTGTGCCTGGTAAGTATGCCTGCCGCAGGTTTTACTAGAAGGCTGGATGCTACTAGTAGCTCCTGGCCTTGCTACTAGGAACAAGAGGCCGCTAGAACCAAAGGCATCGCCACTAATTGAGAACGAAGAGGCAGGGATGCAAAAAAGAAACAGAAAAAGAAGCAGGGGGTGCCAGGGACCGTGCAAGTCTGGCACTAACAAAGACATTTGCATTGGTCTGTGAAATCGATTTGGGACGCCAAATCGACGTACCTGCTGAATTGTTAAGCCGCTTCTTAGCGTACCAAGAGTTGCCAAACATTGTTCAAACATCTCCAATTCCGTGGACTTCTTCACCCTTCGGTTTGCACCTGTCCTTTTCACCAGTCAAGGTCTACAATGCAGCTGGCATTGTAGTCGCTAGAGTGAGACTTCATTCTGATCCTAGCTCTTGCGAGCAACCATCTAAGTGTAGTTTCACCCGTAAATATTATATATGTTTATATGCATTAGCAAAACCCCACTCAACTTGCAAGCACCACTCTATTCTATAAGAAGTGATTACCAGGTAGGTGGATTCAGGATCTTGCGCTCCAGTCTGAGTTTCCTGCACCTTCTGACTGGTGCAACCGGACTGCTCTAAGCCTTAAGCTTCAAAACTGCCAATCATAAAAAGCGTGATGGTGTTCAAACCCAGTAGCTTTTGGAAATTGGGAGATTTGGAGTGACATCTTTACTTTACAAACACCCTTGCTTCCATCTATGGACGAAGTGTCAGGACCGGGCAAAGCAGCGAGCACTCGCTCGTCCTGAAGACCATGTGAGCAGCGAGCACTCGCCGCTCAACGCCCTTCAACCCCGACGCCGCGTCAGTTCGAAGGGATGGCCGCCACCTTGCCCACGGACCGTGCGTTGGAATAGGCCAGGGAAGACAGTGCCTTCAAGGCCTTCGCCTTGGCAGGCTATCACGCCCAGAAGCCAGCCAAAAGGTCCGCAAAATGGAGGCATCTCAGGAAAATGTTTGGTGCTTTGCATCTCCCGTGGGATTTGTCAGGAGCTCCCCAATCCCCCATCATAACCGAGATCCGGGCACACTCTGCCGGCACCGCCTGCCGTTGGTCTCACACCAACCAAAGGGGGAAACGAAATCAAACGAATTCAGCTACATCGCAGGGCATCGCACCTCATATTCTGCCATATGAGTCAGAACCTGAAGGAAAACGCTCAGACTTTCAGACATTCGTTGACTCACCAGCATTGGACCCGCTGAAAGTCCGCGAATTCTTCGGGGCTCGGGTGCGCTAATCCAAGGCCACGTCAGCCACGTCCGATTGTTTCGATCGTGAGCGGTCAACGCTCGCCCCCCCGGGCTCCAGACATCTTGCAGATTCTCGCGGTTGAACGCCTCAGCGGCCAACCGGCCCGGCGACCCGAGGGATGCAGCGACAAATGAAGATGAAGCACTGGCGATGGGTCGCGTGCACACCTACCCAACAACAATATGGGTTGATAGGTCGCGCCTTAGCATCTCCCACTGGTGCAGGTCGCGCAGGCTGATGGGCCCTGCGAAATAGCAGGTCAACTGAGTTAGCCAGACCTCCCTCCATTCAGTTTCAAAGCCCAAAGCTTCTTTTCGCTGTTGGCCAGTCCGTATGGAGGTGTATGTTGGTAGTCTCTGATCTACAAATGTACCTCTGCTTCTACTACATTCTGCAATCGTCTTGCATGCCTAGCCGCTAGCCTAGTGTCTAACTAGCTTCGCATCATGATCTGGGCTCCCCAGCCCGTTGGTCACATGCCCTGCTGCGTATCCTCGCGTGGGTCCGGAAGATGCCTTGGAGAGAGAAGCCATAGTAAAACTCCCGAACCGCCCGAGAGTTGGAGGATTCCTCCAACTTGGTTGACGGAATCACCTTTCAGTGAAACCATGGATTTGAATGCTTTGGAAGAGATTGCCAAAGTGGGAAAAAAAACAGTTCTAAGCATGACCACTTTTGGAAATCCTGACGGACAAGAACTTCCCTGCCCTTCACGAGGTGTGGACCGTCGCCGGCAATAATGGCTCGAAGCTATCCTGAGCTGCCTCAGGCAGGGGAGCACCTCCCACTTTCAAACCCACCTGAGTCAAGAGTCGACCAAGGAAGTGGCCATGGAATGCAACTGCTTGGAGAGCAAGAGATTCTCCTCCCAAGATCCAGACGATCAAACCCCCCCAGCACGGAGCACCCTAGAGGCTCCTTCTCGCTCAATTGGAGCAAGTACTTCTGAAGTGCTTCACCCTGAAGTCCGAGGTAGGCTGCCTGAAGTCCGAATGCCCATTTTCACCAGCCAAGGCACCTTGCAAAACCACTATATAAATATGGGAAATCATATCTAACTTGCTACTAGTAGCGATGCACTTGCTACTACTAGCTTCTTGCAACTAGTAGTGATGCCCTTGTTGCTAGTAGTTTCTTGCTACTAAAAGTGATGCACTTGCTACTAGTAACTAAGCATCCAACTCCACTTTGCAACGCCCGCTTCACGGACTGCAGCTCCGCCTCCAGCTCCGAGGCTCGCACGCACCGGGCTGGGCTCCGAGCCCGCGCGGCGCGGACTCCGAGGCTCCGGCTTGGGTGCTCGCAAGCTCGCTGGCAGAGGCCATGGCCCCACGACCTGCACCTGGAGCAGCGGCCAGCTCCACGTGCGCACGGATTGACGCGCGGGCGTGCGGCGGCTGGGCGCGGGCGGCAGAAAGCACTGGGTTCCCCTCGCAGTCGCCCTGCGGGCTCAAGTCTTAGACCTTGGGAGCCCTGTTGTCCCTCTTGTCTACCAGATCCAATAACTGCAGTCAAATGGTGCAAGGTTCAAATGCTTCAGATTGCGTCTGCGCAACATGACAGACAAGGAGTGCTCAGTACATGATCATGAAACTGCCAAGCACTGCCGGGCACTGCTCGTCTTTGGACAGTGCACAGCACGCAGTTCGGCACCCAGCCGAGCTGTCTCTGCGGCGGCTCGTCCTTCTCGAGATCCGTGAGACATGTCTTGAGCCTGCAGACCCTAAACGAGCTTGCTCGTCATGGACACAATGCCCTTGGTAAGGTCCTGGCTCCGTTTCGGAATCGGTGATTTTTTGCTGCTCGAGCAAGTATGGGACCCCTGATGTGCTGCGCGACATGGTGCTGATTGAAATGATACAGTGATTGAAATGATACAGCCATATACATCTGTGAAAAGGTGGATACCCTCAGCAGCAAGGCGCACGCTTTTCCAA